TAACAAATCATTTATAAACATAATAAATATTTTTATTTTAAAAAAGGAAATACACTTGGTGCTAATTTCTATGAATAAATTGGTGGTCTAAGTACTCCTTTATTGCTTATTGACCACATCAAACTCTTTACGATGCTCCGATGCATCGTTGTGGGTATGATGGTGAGACGTACTCAGTGAGTGTTCCTCTAATGTTGGTGTTCCTCTGATGTTGTTTAACCTAACTACCATCCAACATCCATTCCTCACATGATAACAACCATAGGCTAACACACATCTATTAAATGTGAGAAAGTTAATCGTGAATGATAGTTTATATGGAAACAAGTAAAGGGTGATTATCTAGTTAAATTGTCATTCAAAGTTTACTTTTCACTATGTGTGTAATTTGATGGTTGTTATCGACTAGTGTATGGAGGTTAAGTGGTTGTAACGCCTGGTTCCTGGTATGTATTTTAACTTATTAATTATGCAATTTAATAGATCAACTCGACGAGTTGGTAGCCGCAACTCGTCGTGTTGAAAAGTTTTGGACCGCGTGTTTTAAGTGACCAACTCGACTAGTTGGGAGGCCTCAACTCGACGAGTTTGGGCGTGTCCCGATTCTGTTGAAAAAGGAAGAACTCGACGATTTAAGGAAAAACTCGACGAGTTGATTCGAAATATCGTGATTCTGTGAATTATGGGAACTCGCCGAGTTGAAGGATGACTCGACGAGTTGAGTCAACTCGGAGCGTTGACTTTGACTTTGACTTGGATGTTTACTTTGACTTTGACCGGGATATTACTCTGATTTTTATGGATTTGGATTTATGACTTATGTATATGTTCGGATGTTTTGACAAATATCGTTTATTTAGTATTTCTAAAATGAAATTTTTGGGACCGTGTTTTGAGTATGTTACAGTAGTATTTAGATGAAAGAACATAATGATAGATCTATATGTTCAAGAATCATTTTGTAATGATAATCTCTAATAACATGTGATCCTATAACGTCACACCTAGTAGCAAGTAGACACTTATTGATTGTGTATTAATAAATATTATCAACTCTTATTTAACTGAAGAAACATACAGAGTACATCTATGACACCCACAACGATATATAGGAGAAACATAGGGAGTTGGAAGTGGTCAGCAAACAATAAAGAAGTACCTAGTCGACCATTGTATTCTTAGAAATTAGAAACAGGTGTATTTCCTTTGTTTATAAAAAAAATATTTGTTATGTTTATAAATGATTTGTTAATAATAATATCCATTAATTTCATATTAATTTTCAGAAAAGTCTCAATATTTTGGTTATCGGGTTATTTTCAAAAAAGTCTTAATATTTTGAGCAAACAAACGAAAAAGGATAGAATACCGGCAAAATCTACGAAACTGGCCAAAAAGGGTTTTTTCGAAATTTTAGCCGATATTTTGTGCTTTTCTATAAACAAAATTTAGTTTGAGACTTTTTCATAAATTGAACTGAAATTTTAGGATTTTTCTGGGGATTTCCCTTTTGTTAATCATTTACACATTTTATAGTAAATCAATTAAATTTAAAAAATTACTTTGTTGAAATCTCTTTTTGCTTCCTCAAAATCCCCTGCCTCCATGTAAGTCGTTCCCGGTCAATAAAATGCTTTCACGTTAAGATGAGTTGCATATATTACATGTGTAAATGTGTAAATAAAGTCATGAATCACCCACAGTCGAGCATCATCACCAATAAAAAAGTATTTTTTAGCATAACTGAATCCTAACTAATGTATTGTGACAGTAAATGAATAAATAAAAATAAGGATTATCAGATAAGAAGTAATTAAAAAAGTATAGCACCAGGTTACGTTATAAACTCTAATTGATATAAATTATCTAACTTAATCCGGAAAAGGAATAACTAAATGTAATTTGAATATTAAAAATGAATACTCGTCCATACGTCCAAATATGTGGAATAAAAATTATTAGTAGAGGTAGATTAGAGAGAAGAGAGATTTGATTGATTTGGAGATCGTGAAATACCCATCCATACATCCAAACAAAAGTGGGTAAAAACCAAATATATATTCTATTTGTAAGGGTAATGATATTTCCATTTGACAATTTTATCCTTCAACTTTAAAATAAGTGTGTTTGGACCTAGGGATGAGCAACGAGCCGGACCCAGACCGGACCGACCTGAAGACCAAAAACTCAAAGACCGAAAATTGTGAATTAGCTTACCCGAAAACCAGACTGTTTTTAGGTATATCGGGTCCGGTTTTTGGTCCGATTCGGTTCCGGGTACCAAAATGATGTGTGTGTGTATATATATATATATATATATATATATATATATATATATATGGTAAAAGTGAATATGTGACTGTTATGTACCTAAGCTTAGGTATAGAACCTTTTAAACGACATAGTTTTAAACAAAACAAATCCAATTTCATTTTCTTTTAGTTTTGCTTTAATAGAATATCATTGAATTAAGTTCAATTATGGAATGAAAAAGATCAATTATATATATATATATATATATATATATATATATATATATATTTGTTGCAAATAATTATTGAAGTTTATAAAGAAAATAAAAAACCAATATTTTTTAACGAATACAACTCAATCGTTTTGTCTTTCACTTAAAAAACTATATCCAATGATTTTGTTAAAAGTTTGATTGAGTTATGACATGTTCTTTTATCTTTTATTCTATTGGTTTTTTATTTAGAATTTAGTAGGGTTGATTAAATGGTCACAACTTTTAATGCTTTAAGTTCTTAAACACAATGAAGAAAAGAAACATAAATTTGATTGATTTAGTAAATCACGTGATTAAGGAAGAATAGTAAAAGAGATATCATAATTAGTTTAGATATAAATGGATCAAAACTACATTTTTTTGAGGGTTCTATATATAAACTTAGGTACATGACAGCCACATAATCCCTAAGCCCATATATATATATATATATATATATATATATATATATATATATATATATATATATATATATATATATATATATATATATATATATATATATATTCTTAATAAAAGAAACCTTAAACTGCCACGTGTCCTCATTATACACCGTTACCTTGCCACATGTCAGTCCTTCAACATTTCACTTACTGATTTTGCCGCCAGTTGCTAATTGTTGTATTCGACCTTCATACCCTATAAATCCGAAAAATCAGGCCTTAAAATCAGACGATAATGTTCACCCACGTTTTCATCCTCTCCATAAATCAAAATTAAAATTTAAACCCTTCCCAAAATCATGGCCTTAATTTGCGCACGATGATTCCTCTATCGTTGCAAAATGACGAGATAAATGGATTGATTTTTTTTCTAAGTATACATTGATTGAAACCTAATGGCGTTATTTTCTCGATCAGTTGGTTAAGTAGGTTTGAATCCACGGAGGTTTGAAGAATCTTGATCCCTTCTCAACTTTTCATGTTGTTGTTGTTTTGCTTCTTTGATTCACGCCTCTTTTCATTGATGTTATCGGTTATGATTTTTTTACAGTAAACACATCAGGGTTGCTCTGATTTCATGAAAATATACACATATCGGACCAATTTTACTCATCGTTGCTTATCCTCACCAACGCTGCACCCCACACGACTCACTACCATCACATCATTGCTCAATTGAGACTTGATCCACCGTCTTTCTTCCCTCACTACCACAGTCGTAACATCCTTTGTTCTTAGTCGGTGTTTTTACACGTTGATTTGATTTCTACAGGATAAAGGACAAAAGGCTTAAGGTAAAAGCCCTAGGCATTTTTCTCTCGCTTTACCCAATCAAGAAATTCATCGCAACCCAAGAATCAATAAGAACTCAACCATATCAGGAAGCAAGTTGAAAATAAATTAAAAACCAGGTTAGCACTTAACCACTTAGCACTTTTGATTTTCTTTTAGACAATATATCACCATCAAGCTGCGTAACAAGAATTACTTCAATTTAATATTATTATTCTCAATGGCTTACTTTTGTGTAGGAAATGTTGGTTACATATAACTTCAAATACTTAGATGCCCATGTGGAGATGATTGTTGTGTTGATGTGCCTTATATATGTTATATGTGAAAAAGGTTTTGTTTTTTTAGTTTACTAGGGTTAAGTTGACCGTGGTTGTTTTTCAGTTTGAAATCTTGATAATAGAGTTTGAGTTCAATGGTTGATAAAAGAATTATTTAGGAAATATGGATGTTGATAATTATGGCGAAACTGGTTGTCATGGCCAAGAATTTTTAAAGTCGTGAAAAAGAACTCATATTCACCAATTAGTGAAAACATTCGGGTCAAGTTTCGAAACATAAATTCAATGAGGTTGCAACCAACTTCCTTTCCATGCTGATTCTGCACGTACCCAAGTTAAGTAAAAATAATTAGCACTGATGTAACCATCAACCATTCAAAACGTTTAATATTGATGGACACCGAAGCATATTCAAAGTTGATGTGGTTGGTGGCAACAATAGAGTGATATGTGTTTTCAGTGGGGATTTAAAATTTTGAAAAAAAAAAATAAGAAATTGATTTGTTGGTTGTTTTTATTAAGAATAGATTATTAATTTAAAATAATGGGTGTCATGTTTCAGAGTAAAAGGCACATGCTTGGTGTGCCTCAAAAGGAAAAACATTTTGTATTTTGAGACATTAGTCAACGAGGGAATCAATGTTGAAGAAGCTTTTCAAGTAATTGCTAAGAATGCCCTGAAGCGTGGAGAAGAGGAAGAAATGTAAGTCTTAAATTTTAAAACATCTTTTTATTTCACCCATTTAAACGTAAATATGTCATTTTTGGTTACATTTTATCTCAAACTGGTAAACTTAGAAAAAAGTATCTAAACGGACAAAGTTTATTGAAATGCATTCAACATTAAACCTCCTTAATGTTGATATTTATTTGTATTTTGTATTTTTCTAACTAATATATCTTCACCCCAAATTCAATGGCAAGACATGCGTGATGGTCTTCAAGTTTCTACTTTTAATGTACTACAAGAACACGAGAGATCATAATTATTGGAAACAGGTAACCCGTATGTATCAATTACTTTTTTGCCCTCATGAGTTTTGTGTCTTTTCTTATTTCACTCAATGTTATATATTTGTAGGTATCAGTTCTTTCTATACAATATGGATGTATCTTTCCATCTGTTGCAACAGGATTATACTTAACTTCCAAGCTTACAACTGTCATTCAAAAGGTATAAACTTGGTTGCCTTTTATGGAAAAATGTTAAAGATTTATGGTCTATGCAGTGTTTGAAAACGCCATAACACCACACACCCCCTCTGTAAATGAATCCCCCTATGCATATGTGATGATAGGTGTTGGAAAAACCACACAATTATAGCAATGTCATCAAATTCAAAGAGATTCTCACAGCTTTAACATGGTAGGCTATGTTGCTCTTAGAGTTTTGCTTATTTTCTAAAAAAATTAAAAATAAATGATGGACATTATGCATTTTAAATGATTTTAAAGGGTATGATGATGGCCTTTCCACTTCATTCCATTTTAATTGCTTTAATAACATAATTTTATTGTTTAGCAGATGTAGGTGATGGAAAATGTATTTTTTTAATCGATTTGGAGTTTTGGAGATTATTGTTACCAAATATGCGTGTAAAAATATCAGACATCAATGGGTAATTAGAGTATCTCCTGCTTTCACTACTCCTTCAATCGGTCAAAAATTAATCTCAAATATTTTCTTAATTTTAGTTTTCCACAGATGTAACAATTATTAAATTTACTGATTGTTGTTGCTTAAAATATTCAGATAGTTGTTGTATATGTTTTGGATCTTCTTCAAACTTCATTCTAGGTACATTACAAAATATACAAGGACCATTTTTCCCATAAGAAACAATCTGTCATTTTTTCTGAAAAATGGACTATAACGTATTATGCAGAAAATGTATACCATTTTTGTTAGCTTTTTTAATAAAGTGGCCATTTATGTTATATATTTTTTAACATGGGGTATTTCTACAGTTTCATTTCACTTCTCGTAGTAAACAATGATCATTTTAGGTTATTTTTTAAATAATAGACATTGGTCAATTTTTTAAACATGTACTGTTGCTGATTTTTATTTTACTTTATGAAATAAACAGGGGCATTTATGCTTATTTCCTTTACATCCATAGGTTTTGATCAATTAGGAAATAATGCACAATTAGTATTGTTTATAATATTTTTCAATTGTTTATAATATTTTTCATTTAATGATATTTTTTTTGGATAGATCTTATTAATATACTTTTTATTTTTCATTATCATTCTTTTTATCTATTTAATTCATTATAATTCAACTAAACTTTTTTTTAAGAGTAAAGGCTTCACTAAAAGTGACTCTAATAAGTGAACTAGATTTATTAACGGATGATTTCATTTTGAAAATATGTGTCATCAACTTATGGACCCTTAAATCGTTCTATAACGACAAAGACGAAAGTTTTTCATTGAATTGATTTTTTATATTTATTCTATTGTTTTTTACTCTATTCAGATTTATTGTATTATACAAAAGTCAAATTTTATAAAATATATACAAATACAAAACAAGGATCAGATATTCAAAACACATATCTTTATAAATTAATAAATATTTTATTATCATTGATCAATAATTAGCTTATGATTTATTTATAATTTTTTTTCCTTTCATATCCGTGGTGTCCACGGGTTATAAGCTAGAATATATATATATATATATATATATATATATATATGAAAATATGTGTCATCAACTTATGGACCCTTAAATCGTTCTATAACGACAAAGACGAAAGTTTTTCATTGAATTGATTTTTTATATTTATTCTATTGTTTTTTACTCTATTCAGATTTATATTGTATTATACAAAAGTCAAATTTTATAAAATATATACAAATACAAAACAAGGATCAGATATTCTAAACACATATCTTTATAAATTAATAAATATTTTATTATCATTGATCAATAATTAGCTTATGATTTATTTATAATTTTTTTTCCTTTCATATCCGTGGTGTCCACGGGTTATAACCTAGTATATATATATATATATAGATATATATATATATATATATATATATATATATATATATATATATATGGAAAAGTGAATATACATTACAGCCCCACCTAAGCTTAGGTACTAAACCTCTTGAAAATACATTGTTTTACTATATAAAGATTACGGTTAATGGATTCTCGATTAATACTTCAAGATATAAATTAAAGATCGACACAATAAGGTTTAGGGTTTAAGGTTTAGGGTTTAGGCTTAGTGTTTAGGTTTAGGGTTTAGGGCTTAGGGCTTAGGGCTTAGGGTTTAGGGTTTAGGGTTTAGGGTTAGGGTTTATGGTTTAGGTTTAGGGTTTAGTAATGTTCACTTGGGTGAAGTAATAAACGATAATGGAGGAAAAGAAACAGAGATGGTAAAACGATAATGAAAGAAAGAAATGTTATGGAGGATGATATATTTACCAAGTGAAACCAAACCGGGTATATTTAGCAAGTAAAACGACATATTTTAGAGGTTTAGTACCTAAGCTTTAGATGGGGCTGTAATGTATATTCCTTATCCCTAGATATATATATAATATATATATATAATATATAGAATATATATATATAATATATATATATATATATATATATGTGAAAATGCAAATAATTTGCGAAAACGCGAAAACAAGAAGAACCTATGATATTGTGTCAGCTCAACATTATATTTTGGAAAATAATTCATCCAAACTTTGAAATACATGATGTTAATCGATGATAGATGAGAAATTGTTTCATATTAGCAAAGTTTGATTTTTAACACTTTTATTATGAAAACATGAATTTAAAAATGATTAAGGACGTGAAAAAAAAAATTATTAAAATCGTCTTTAAATCTATATTACCATAACACCATCCAATGTAAACTTAATATCTTTAATTTATTACTAATAAATTTATTTTTTTATAGTACATGTGTTTGATTTTTATACTAGAAAAGTTTGAGGCCCGTGCTAAGCACGACCCAAAGGGTATTTTGGGTATTTTTTTTCCTGTTATCTAATGTATATTATGTTAATAACCCAACAAAGGAAAGTGCAATGCTATAAATGGGTGAATTTTCAATATACAATACGTGAATAAAAAAAGAAATGGAAGTATGTTGTTATAATCAACAAATAAATGAAAGCCCAATGCGATTCCATGCTATGATTTTTTTCACTTATGGAAAACTGTCAACATCATTAGCAGTGGAGTTTACGAGTATTGGGATTAATCAAGAAATATCATCTTCGATTTCTCTATTAAGGCTTTACCCACTTTTTCTTTTGGTTTCTCATTGATCTTTATTGTTATGTCTACTACTTGATTCGATATGACATAAAAATTGAGGATGAATTAGAAGGATTTGGAACTTTAAAAACTTTTTTTTACATCCTACAACCTCCGGAACAACATACTTGGTGCGATCAAATAGCTAAGGGTGGGTTTAGTTGCGGAAAAATGGGCCGTTTTCCGGAAAAAATTTCCAAGAAAAATAAGAATTTTGAAAACGCGTTTAATTCGTCTATTTTTCTAAAATTTTCATGGAAAATGAAATTTTTCCGTTTTCTAAAATTACAAACAAGTTGGAAAATTTTGGAAAACCAATAATTATTGTTTTCCATATTTTTCTAATTCCAAATTTTTTCTAAAATATAAACACATACCTACTCCCACCCCATCCACCTCTACCTACCCCCACCTTAACACCCCCCCACCCACCCACCCCAACCCACACACACATACATACATACCCCCCCCACACACACACACACCCGCACACACACACATACCAACCCCACAAACACACACACACATGCATACCCACCCCCACCCACAAATACACACACATACATACCCACCCACCCACACACACACCCACCCACCACAAACACACACACATACAATACCCACCCCCCCCCCCCCCCCACACATACAACCCACAAACACACACACACATACATACCCACCAACGCACCCACGCACACACACCCACAAACACACTCACACACATACCCACCCACACCCGCACCCGCACAAACACAAGCACACACACCCACAAACACACTCACACACATACCCACCCACACCCGCACCCGCACAAACACAAGCACACACACACCCATCCCCACCCCCACCCCCACAAACACACACCCACCCACACCTACCCCCACCCCACCCTCACAAACACACACACACACACACACACACACACCCACACACACACACAAACCCACACACCTACCCCCACAAACACACACACACACACCCACAAACACACACAAACACACACTCGCACACCCACCCACCCAACACCACTACCACAATCACCGACCTACCATCACCATCACCACCACCACCACTAACCCATCACTAGCTCCACCACCGCCGCCGACCCGCTACCGTCACTGCCCCCACCCACACCCTACCACTGCTACCGTTTTCTTAAAATAAAAACCGATAGAAAAATACACATCTAAACACGTTTTCTAATTTTCTAAAACAGAAAATGAAAAAGGAATAAGTTTAATTAAATGCGTTTTCTAAATTTTCCAATGAAAACCGAAAAGGGAAAACGAAAACCGAAAAGGGAAAACGAAAAACAGAAAATGAAAACTGTTTTTCCGTAACTAAACGCAACCTTAGCTATTCACTATAGAGCATAATCAACTTCAAGTTATGAATTTGCAAACGTAAGAGAACCCGATTCGTAATTGCTTATGGATATAAACTTGTCCCACAATCCTTGTAGAAATAAAAGGAAGAGGAAATCAAACATGGATAAAACAATGAAATTCCCAAATGTTTAATACTAAGATAGAAAGTATGTTACTCGATTGCATGAAAAAACTTTTTTTTAAATCCTATTCTTATAGTCACAAGTTACGGTAAATAGATAAAAACATCGACATTTTAACAAATTTAGTTACATGAAACTTCAATGAATCTGGATTTACTCATGAATTAGCACATGATACTCTGTTCACATATTTGTAATAATTAACCAACCATATATATGCAATTCCCATCTTCCACTTCTTAGCTAAAAAGTGAGACCACACCACTGAAAGCTCTGAGGCATATGCGCTCTCCGATTTTTCCTCGCTTGCTTTCTTTAAGACCATGTCACAAAAAACTAATAGTTAAGTAACGAATGAAAGTCTCACATTCGACTCTTTGGTGTCATACGAAAAATTGTCCCACCAATTCCATGGGACCATAAGGCCTGAGAGGTTAAGGGTTAAAAAACAGTGAATGGTGTATAATTATCAAGTGTATCTAAAAGAACAGTATGATATAATAAAAATAGTTGATTAATGTACATATTTATGAATCAAGCACAACCATGTAGATGAGATTATTCTTTAAATGAGTTAGTGCTTCATGTACACATTGCATTATTAAATGCAACTAATTCGAATGCAGTTGACCCCATGCATCTTAGCAGATAGAAGATTATCTCCAAATAAATCCCAGAGGACTGGCACAACAAAGATCATTAAATATGAAGCACTAAGAATATTAAAAAATTTCATAAGAAGTCATAAAGGGAAGCACAATAATAATATGTGTCGGTTAGAACCTGACCAAGTTATATATCGGAGAACAGGGCCGGCCCGGGCAAGGTGGGCGATGCTCCGGGGCCTTGTTATGGTTTGGGGCCTCAAACTAATTCTGTTTTTTACTAATATATATGTGTCGTGTTAAACAATTGCATATAATTTTACTAGATCAGTTGGTTAGCGCTCTGGTAAGTATACTTAGGATGCCCAGGTTCGATTCTTTCTATATGCACTTAATAAAATTAACAATAAATAAACAGCATTTTTTCTTCTATATGCACTTATTAAAATTAACAATAAATAAACAGCATTTTTTCTCTTTCATAACTTTAGTAGGCGCCCAAACTTACGCCTCATTTTATTGAAATTGAATTCAAATTACAGAAATAGTCCCTGCAATTCTTCTTTGTTATTCATAGATAATCCAAGTTATTAATATGGTCCCTCAATTTATTTTATTTTTAACAAACTACCCAAACACTTATTTCATTTAAAATTTTGGTGTTTTTCTAGCCATTATCAAACATAATTTTCCAGTTTATATAAGAGATTTTCTACCTTGCATCGTGTTTTAATATATAATAACTATTATTTGTATGTTTGTTAATAAAAATCACGTGAACCTGTCAATTAGATAGGTCATTCTTCAAGTTTTTTTTAGAGTTTTCACGAAATGTAATTTTTTTCCAAACACTCATCTTTTTGTTTGTTTGGCCAGACACCAAAGTAACGGTTTTTCGAAATGGTTTGATTGTTCGCTTTTTTTTTTATTATTTTGCTTTGTCATTTTTTATTTATTTTTTTATTTTTATTTTTTTTTGCATAGCCTAGTGGTTTATAAGTTTTAATATTTAACTCGCATCCTTTTAACCTGTTTGAATTTTCTTTCATACTATATATATATATATATATATATATATATATATATATATATATATATATATATATATATATATATGTAATTTAATAACAATTGCTCATGTCTCCATATCATCTTTGTATTATTGTTTGTCATTACTAAAGTTTTAAGGGGCCTCACTTTTTGTTTTTGCCCTAAGCGTCAAATCGCCTTTGGGACGGCCCTGTCGGAGAATTAACAAGTTGTACGAACATTAAAGCATCAACACCCCTAATCAAAAATTTTATTAGTTTACACCAAAAAGCCATAGATTATATGTGTGACATTGCTAAAGTCAAAAGCATATTAAACATCAATTATCAAGCTCTATTATCAGTTACCTATTATATATAGCATAAAAGCTTAAAAGAAAGCGTGGGGAACAGTAAACTTCTTTTTTCATTCCTCTTTTGCCACGGAAGTTTTTTTTTCGTTTCCAGGCCACACATTGTACCGTCTTCTTTAACCAATCACAACGCCACCGCCATTCACCTACGTCCTCTTCTTCAACAAAAAAAAACCCAATGTTACATTCAAACACCTGCAATCTTCTATATCCTTCTCATATCCTTTAATCTCCCATCACTGCACCGGAGGTTGCCTCGTCTTCTCCCAATAAAATCACACCGATCAGAGAGACGGGTGGGTATCGACTGTCACGAGCATCCTTTTGTTTCTTCCCGTCGTCCCTTTCCGTATCGGCGGAGCTAATCCGGCAGACCGCAGGTGATGAATTTCCGATTCTGTTAGTCCTAAGCGCAACCACACCTCCAATCGCTCCAATCTCTGTACTCCCTCCTCCGCCTCCCTCAACGAACCAGATTCTGAATACGAAATCTCAGAAGAGATCAGGTTCTTTAGACCGAAGGATGGACTTCTGTATGCCTACGGTTCCAATCGTTACCAACAGAGGTCGGGTATGTCGATTTAAGGTATGTCTCCTTTTTCCCGTCTTCTATCCATGTTAAATTTTCGGTTGTCAACTGTTCTCTCAGTTCTATACCAAAGCGACGGACAAAGGTAACTGTTGATTTACTTTCTCAGCTTTCTTATGGTTTCGTTTTTTAAAATTCTTTACCAATCTTATTCCTCATGTTTGAAACTTATGCGGTGTTGATCATCACAGCTTCGTTTGCCCTAATTACCAGCTTCGTTTGGCCCCTTAGTTCATAACCAAATTGATACAAACTCCCTCAATTCTATTTTGCTTTGATCAAGTTCAACCTTCTAAAATCAGTTACTTAGGTTACTAGGCTATCCTATCAGCAGATGAAACACAAGACTTTATGATTTTACAATCTTGTCAGTTGTCACTAGCTGACCTGTTGTAGTATGTTAGCAATGAAAAATAAAGTTCAAGTTTGGCAATTGAAGAAAAATCATTCATAAGATGTTAAATGTGCAATTTTTCATGTTTTGAAATATGATTTCTGTTTTACCATAAGGAAAGAATGAAACATTAACAAAGGTTTAACTGAGTGACCAATGTAAAAGGTTCAACAGCATGATAAATTATGTGTGTTAAGGGCACACTATAGTTAACCTTACCCAAAATTTATGTGTTACAAAGTCTGAAAAGTGAAAACAGAACTGAATTAACATAACAGAACTTGCAGTTGCTCTTGCACCTCATATTTATGTCAATTATTCTACCTATGTTTGACATTGGGGATATTTATTTCAATTATTCTACATGTATTTGACATTGGTTTATTTTATTATTTTGGTTGCAGCCAATACAACTTTGGGCTGGTAAAGAGCTGTTTAGATATGAGAGATTATCCGAATCTTACTTTTACTGAAAAGAGTTACACAAACCCACAATGATGGACTTTACTCGGTTCTTCTTAGGGATTACAATTCGCATGCTGCTTAAGGTACTTTTTTTCAAAATTTCACCTTTAAGAAGGGTAAAATCGTCTTTTCCAATACATATTTGCTGAAACACAGCAATATGTTTCCAAAGGGTAAAACACTCTTTTGGTTTTACAAGATGATGAAAGTTTATCAACCACTTATTTATCTATATTGTAATATAAACTTATTATTTTATATTTATAAATTAACAGGAAAGGGCTTGCATAGGATACCGTTATTAGATGAACAAACAGACAAGGTTAGATGAAATGGGGTTTATAAAATATTTTGAGATAGATAAGGCTAATTTTGTAATTGTTGTGTTTTTTGTTGCAGCTCAGTTACATAATTTGATTATATCCTTCTTCATGTTTAAATTTACGAATGAGACAACTTCATATTATGTAAATTTCTTTGGTTAGCATAAATACTTTTTGATGAATTATGTTTTTTTTAATATTTTTTTTTTTTGCAGTGTAATGTGAAAGAATGCTCTGTGAAGCTTGCTTATGTAGGGCATGAATCTGAGGGAACACCGAAACAATAATCAAAGTTTCTTGTGGGTAAAATCATACAGGTAGTTTAATTTTTAAAAGATTTGTTGATTCTAAACACCTTCTCTTATGCATTTTTTAACAAGTTTTCTGACTCTAATATGGTTGAGTGTTCAGATCAGGTTTCTTCATAAACAAGGTGAAAAAAGGAAGATTAAGACCCCATGAAAGATGACATCAAAAGTTGAAATGCTTAAAGAGAGACAAATACTGTACATTTGGCAACTAAACAAACCTTGGAAAGGAATCACGAATTCCAATTCTGCCAGATTCCTTTAGAATCCATGAACCAAACACGGTCTTTGTGAGTTTTCTATTTTTAAAATTTCACTCTTAATAAAATTTTCTATTTTATTTATTTCAACATATACGCGGAGGCTATTTTGGTCTTTTAAAAAAAAAAAAAAAAGAAAGGACGAATTCGACTTATACAACACTGGAATGCTCTGTGAAACTTATTTTTTGAAAAGTTGGTTTTAATTAGTATGGAAATGCTTTTGAGAAACTTACGGTTCTAGAATGTTTTGAAAGACAAGGGTATTTTGGTCCAAAATAAAAGGTTATAATCTTTTTTTGAATTTTTTTCTTCAATAAATGAGTAACATGGGCGAATTTTTTTTTTCAAATTTGAACTCTTACACTAATGTTGATGTGTGTGTGTACGCTTAGTTCATGTATGTTTAATCGTTTACTAAAATTTGATTTTTAAAAATATAATTTTTTTCAATAAAAGAGTAACAGTACACATTCTTTTTTTGAAATATGATCACTTATGTTGTTGATGTGTGTTTGAGTATGTGTGTGTTTACCTTTTTTTTTTTAAATTTTTTTTTTTTGTTATTTGGTGCTGAGATTGGATCTTGATTCGGAGTTGAATTGCCGTACACCTAGGGCTAGGCATTACTTTATAAGTTTTTTTACTCTAATATAGTGTTCAAACCAGGTTTCTTTATAAAATAGGTGAAACAAGGAAGTTGAAATGCTAAAAGAGGGACACATATTATACAGATTAGAGAGAGAAAGATACATATTTGAGAAGAAGACTCGACCTTCCTATGTAGACACATATTATACAGGTTAGAGAGAGAGAAAGAGATATATTTGAAGGACAATGAAGGTATTTTGGTCATTTGACAAAATAAAAACGAAGACTGAAATTAAATTTCTTCCACCCGATCTTACGAACAATGAAATCCATCAAACATTTATGGAATTTGATGGAATTGAATTTTGTCCATTTGGCAACAAAATAAACCATGGAATGGAATCACAAATTGCAATTCTGTCAGATTCCCTTAGAATCCGTGAACCAAACACGCCCTTAGTGAATTTTCTATTTTCCACATTTCACTCTTATAAAATTTTCAATTTCATTTATTTCAACATATACGCCGAGGCTATTTTGGTCTTTTAACAAAAAAAGGATGAATTCAATTTCCTCTTACCCAACCATACGAATGGTGAAACTCTTGAAACACCAAATTTGAAGGATTTGGCAACCATACACGATTATAGACCATGGAATGGAATCTCCAATTTCAATTCCATTGGAATCCACATACGAAACTCCTCCTTTAGTTTCATCTTGTAATAAACCAAAAAAAAATCTTATAATTATTTACAACTCATGTAACAGCTGAATGAATTGCTGTTGATGCTTTCAGGTATACGGGTGAAAATATAGATTTTGGAAGTGGAAGCCTTTTTTAGTTACCGGTCAGAATAGAGCTCTCCCTCAAAAGAAACATAAGAGAATTGTCAAGACACCAGCTCAAGTTGCAGCAGTAGAGATTTTGCTGATCTTGGAATCCAGGGGATTGGAATTTCAATAGGGAAGTTGGATTTATATGTTGCTGCAGCTGGAATAAACCCTCAAAGAGTAATTTTCACACTGATTTAATCTCACTACTTTAGTGTTCCTCTGAATATATATATTTATGGGTTAAAGGAGGATGCTATAAGCCACAAATAAACAAAGATATGTTGTTATTTCTTGAAAATAGCTACATACTTCCATTTATTTGTTTATTATTGCATTATACTTTTGTTTCTTCCTGTTATTTTTCTTTAATACATAATCATTTTTTCTTTTTATCAAAACAGGTGCTTCCTATTATGATTGATATTGGAACCAACAATCAGGCCCTTCTTAAAGACCCTTTGTGTATGATTCTTCCAATACTTTCCCTATTCTATAATGTTCACATATAATTGTTAATTATTTTAATAGCTTATATTCACGATAATGATAATAGTTCCATTTTTTTTTATAGATTTAGGATTGCAACATCGTCTTGATGGTGAAGAGTACATTGCTGTTATTGATGAATTTATGGAGGCTGTGTTCACACGTTGGCCCCATGTGATAGTGCAGGTAATCTTTTCCATCAGGAAAGTGTTTTAAATTGTTTTTCAATAATGTTAATAAAAATGGATTCTTGTGGGACAATACAATAAGTAATTTAAAAATCTTGTAATCACCAATTTCAAAATTGATATGTACTTTAATTAAATTTACCAACTGAATTGTACCTTTGATCTTACGCTACAATAACGTAATGTTAGATTAACTTTTATAGTAAGTTACAAAAATGGTCCTGTGTTTTTGAACTTTATCGTATTTAGTCCAAAATCGAAACCTTTTCCAGTTTTGGTCCTGATTTCAATGTTTCATATCGATTTTGATCCCTGGAACTTAAAAATAAGGACTAAAATGGATATAAAACCTTAAAATAAGGAGCAAAATCAGAAGTTCTATATACCAAAATTGATATGGAACTTTGAAATAAGGACATAAATTGAAAAATGTTTCAGTTTTGAACTAAACGTGGTAAAAATATCAGTGGTGAAGATATTGCAATAAGTTTATGGAAAGAATTCAGCAGCACAGCTTGCAAATCCGTTGTGCATTTTAATTCCAGCACCAGAGCGCCAACGGCGCACTGATTCCATTCTAGTTATCATTATGTAAGAGCATTTCATGTAATGCGATTCAATTGTGGAGTATGAGAAAATTAGAAACCAAACATGTATCTAAATATTTTTCAGTAGTAAATTACAGGAAAACAATAAAAAATGAAAATATTTTGCATTTTTTGATACAGTTTTTAAGAACGCACCTTCAAAAAACCTATCTTATGAAATCTAACAGGAAAAATACATACGCATAGAAGGAGAGGGTAGCTACAGAAGGAAACATAGTGAGTCAATGACTGCGAAAGCAAAGGTCATTGAAGTTGAAGTTTAACAGACTAACCTGGGAATTGCCGCTGAAGAAACTTTACTCCATAACCGCACATAATCCATATTTGCATCTTATAAATTCAATCAAGCGCTTTGAATATTGGTATCCCATTTTAGTGATACCCAAACTTGCTAAATTAAGAGAAACGAAAATAAGATTCACAGTTAGGGCGTCGTTATTCGAGCGAGGGTAGGAATGAGACGGATTACAAAATTTCAAACTTCAAAAATGGAAACGAAAATCGAAGTGAAATTACAAAGAAAAAACCCTTTTCAATTATTCGTAGATGGTTTTTCTGAAGAGTCGCTGATGCGTGTAGGAGCCCTTTATACCATCTTTTGTCTCTGCAACACATTATTCTCTTCAAACATTAACATCAGAACTTCAGAGATGGTGTAGAAAAATGTTATTCCCTTCCATACCCAATCATATTGTCTAATCCCAATGGGAAGTTGGCTGAGGATGTTTACATGAATCAGCCAGAGGGTTTTGTCGATGCGAAGCATCCCAATAGAGTGTGCAAGCTTGAGAAATCCATTTATGGATTAAAGCACATCTCGCAGATGGAATCTTTGTTTTGACGAGAAGGTCAAAGAGTTTGGCTTTCTGCGAAGCGAAGATGAATCTTGTGTATATGTCAAAGTCAGTGGGAGTATAGTAAGCTTCCTCGTATTGTATGTCGATGACATACTAATCATAGGAAACGACATCCCGACACTGCAGGAAGTTAAGTCCTGGCTTGGGAAGTGTTTCGCTATGAAGGACCTCGGAGAAGCTGCATATATTCTGGGAATAAGGATAGTAAGAAACATGAGTAAGAGACTGATAGGACTCAGTCAGGATACATACTTGGATAAGGTACTAAAGCGTTTTAGTATGGAAAATTCTAAGAAAGGGGAGTTGCCAATCCAAAGCAATACCAAGCTGAGTAAGACTCAGAGCCCGAGTACAAAGGCATAAATAGCTGAAATGAGCCGAGTACCTTACGCTTCCGCAGTTGGCTCAATCATGTACGCTATGACTTGTACTCGCCCTAATGTGACCTTCGCTTTGAGCATGGTCAGCAGTTATCAGGGAAACCCTGGTAGAGCACATTGGACTACGGTTAAGAATATTCTTAAGTACCTTCGGAGGACCAAGGAATGGTTTCTAGTCCTCGGTGGGAGTGATGACTTAAGGGTACGAAGGTACAGTGACGCTAGTTTTCAGACGGATCGGGACAATTACCGATCACAGTCTGGCTGAGTCTTTACCCTTAACGGAGGAGCAGTAACTTGGAAAAGTTCCAAGCAAGAGACTGTAGCTGATTCAACGTGTGAATCTAAGTACATTGCGGCGAGTGAAGCATCGAAGGAGGCAATATGGTTGAGGAACTTCATTGGAGACCTTGGAGTTGTTTCATCCATAAAGGAGCCTATGGAGATTTTCTGTGATAATGAAGGTGCGGTTGCCTTAACCAAGGAACCAAGGGATCACGGTAGATCCAGACATATCAACAGAAAATACCATTTCATTAGACATCGGGTGGAAGAGGGACTCCCCATAGTGAAGAGGGTATCGTCAGAAGATAACCCAGCAGATCCTCTTACGAAGGGACTGAGCAGGGTTAAGCACTTGCAGCACGCTAGGAGCATTGGGCTAAAGGATGATATGAGTTTAGATTTGATAGATAGGAAACGTGTAATAGATCATTTGTACTTGACATTTGATGAATAAATAAAGGTGTATTATTTATGAGTAAAGTCACTATCTTGTGTTGATTATTTATCTATGGTTTCAATTTTTGCATGTTGACTTCCTGAATAATAAGATTATTCAAACGGTCCACGGTCACTCATATGTTGGAAGTAGATATGAAAGAAGACTGTCATGAATTTGTTTGTAGATTGTCTAAAAGGTTTTAGACATAGCAATGGTTTGCTGCAAAGTTCATGAGTGCTTATGAATTGTGATTTGAGCATTGGAATAAACTCGCGTTTGCTGGTATCACTTCATGGAATTTTATCTCGAGTGATCGCAAAGCGATAATATCTTATAGTCTTAAAACTTAGAGATATGGTTATTGTTTGCCGATTGGTTATGCATTGATAATATGTAAACGCATCAGTAACTTGATGTTATAAAACGCATTATTGTGCATGATTTAATTGGTAAATAGTAATAGCATATGAGTCGAAGTTGACCTGTTCCTTTTATCCTAAGAGGGTAAAAGCGATATCTGGTCTAAGCCCGTAACTATATTTGGTATGTAATTGACCCGGTTGTGTATGGTCCTTTTGGGTTGCCTTCACCAAAGCAACTTGACAAGGTAATTAAGGAGAGAGAGAGAGAAGATATTACGATTTATTAATATATTATAAGAATAATATATTAAAGGAGAAATCATATTATTTGATTAATATTGGTCATAAATTAATTAGGAATTAATTTGGTGACTAAAAGAGATTAATTAAATAAAGGGGCTTAAACTGTCAAATGTGTGATAGTTGGATTTAGGGTTGGGAAACCTTATGGATCAAAGGGGGAACGAAATTATGATGGGGATCCATCAAAATTTCGTCCATAGGCCCTATTCCAGAAGGTTCCATGGGCTGCTTGGTGATTAAGTTGTCCATTAGGGTTTTGTAGAAACCCTAGCAGCCTACAGTATAAATAGAGACCCCTATATGCAATTTTCGGCCACTTGATCCCAATAGAAACCCTAGGGCTGATTTTAGCATTCTTTCCTCTCTTATAATTGCCTTCTTGCTTGTGTGGTGTTTGTAAGCCATTAGAGGAGTTACAGTTGTGACTATAAGCTCAAGAAAGAAGATCAACAATCAAGCCAAAGATTTAAGCTCTTGTGAAAGAAGTAATCTTCTAGATCTATTTAGTTACATTGATTTTGTGATATGTATGATAGATCTAGAGTTCTTATTCTTGGATGAATGCATGTACATAGTAAAACCTAGATCCAAGCGTTAGGGTTTGCATGAACACATAGGATGTTGTTGTGTGTAGATTCCATCACAACCATGCTTGCACTCATGATTGGTCACCAAGAATGGCTCCTAAAAGCCCTAAATCACCCCAAAAAGGGATCTAAAACATGAAAGAGCAAGGTATCAGCTTTATACCTCTAAAGAACTGCAGAGGGTGCACAAACTCGAACTCCTATGGCCTCCTCTTGATTCCTCAAGCTTTTCTCTTCCTTATTATGTTCCAAAATCACCAAAAACCACCACAAAGGCCTTAGATCTTTACACAAACGATTAGGGTTTAATATGGAGGGTTCTGAGAGCAATAGGGACGAAGGGAGGCTGAATGAGATACTTAAATAGGGTGCAATCCCTTAGATTAGGGTTTTTGTCCAAACAGCGCCTACTCGTCGAGTCGGTTTGCCGAATCGTCGAGTAGGTCACTAAACTCTCGTGTCCACAGTCGATTCTACTCGACGAGTTGGACCTCAAATCGTCGAGTCCCAATCCAAAATGTTATAATCACTTGAATGAAAATACATACCAGGAATCGGGTGCTACATCTTCCTTTATGACAGGGCCTTCCTTGATACGCATTGCTTGTCATAACTGTGCGTCGTAAATGCGTGTCGTAAATAGACGACGCGCAAAAGCGTGCCGTCTCTCGTTATGACAGGGCCTTCCTTGACACGCATTTGCGTGTCGTCCGAACGTTTTACGACACGCATTGCGCGTCGTTTGAGCGTTTTATTCCTTCCATATGGAAGAATGAGCTGAAGGGGGTTATATCTGCGAAGGGAATTAGCGACGACATATAAAGTATTAGCGGCAATATATAAAGTATTAACGACGATACCTTTGGGGAAAATTTTTGATGGTCAAAATTTTTGAGTATTATTGGCGACAACTTTGGGGGGAAACTTTGGCGGTCAAATTTTCGAGTGTTAGCGGCGACACCATCGCCGCTATTGGTATGTACATTATCGATTTCCAGTCCTTGGTATGTACATAACGCGAAAGTTGCGTGTCACCGCTAAAGGTGGTTGTCGCCGCTAATGCCCATTATTCTTGTAGTGGATAATTAATGTCAATGAATCTGTGTGTATGACAACAGGGGAAACTTGTGTGCAAGGTTTAGCAACAAGGCTTAAACTTATGTTAATATCAAATAATTAACTTTTTGGAAGGAGAAAAAAAAATAGGACGTTGTAATAAACAAAAAACTGAATATTCGTGTATATGAAAACATGGGAAACTCTTAACCACAATATTTGTAGTTTAATTGCTGAGTAACCATTTTATTTACTAAAAAATGAAAAAAAAAAAGGATGTTGTAGTAAAAAAAAAATGAATATACATTGCTATTTTTTTGCATTTATCTCTTTATTCATTTATTAATTGCACAAGATAACACAAACCGGTGTTCGAGTTGTGGAAGTACTAAATCATTTTAGGTCAAAACATCAATATCATTTCCATGAACGCCTGTATAAAACATGGAATATTGGTGAGAGGATTGGTGACTTTTCGAGCCCTCAGATGTTTGTTCTTAGAACAAATTACAGAAATCACCATGTGGTTTGGTTAAATTTGCGTGTTTGGTCCCTAACTTTAGTTTTGCATTCGGACCGTCCCTATTGTTTTATTTGGTTGCGTTTTTTGTCTCTCACAAACATGAAAAAACTATATTACCATCGGTCATTTCTTTTTTGATTTATTTTCGATTTTTTATTATTAACCTTTTAAAGATTATTATTAAAAATAAAAAATGTGGGCCCCTCACCCCATTATCTCTTCCCCTACCCCGTCATCACCCATCTCCCTCAGTTGCCATTCCCGTCCTCTCATTTCTCATCGGAAGCCACAACCACCAACGACGCATCACCAGGAAACCACCAAGAAATGTCACTGGAAGACGCTAGGAAACCACCGATATGCATCATCAATCCTTTATCTTCATTTTTCCGCCCCCATCTGCTCCATCCTCACTCTTCCCTCTTCGTCATCTACCTGAATAGATGGAGCATCGTGTCCGCCAAAATCCTC